TGGACTACGACAAAACTGGTGACCGACTATCGCCTGGCAGCTATAGGCTTATAAGCCTCACTAGCGTGTCGTGCAAGGTGATGGAACGCACTCTCAAGTGAGCTATCCTAGATCACCTTACTTCCAGCAGTCTGATATCTCCAGCTCAACGCGGATTTCTCCCAAACCGTTCTTGCGTAACAAACATGCTCGTGTTTATGGACAGCTTAACCCAAACCAAGGACGAAGGACTCATTTCGGATGCCATATTTTTCGACTTCTCAAAATCATTTGATAGGGTCCCACACGTCCCGCTGCTCCACAAACTCAAGTCTTACGGGATTCAAGGGAAAATCCTTCGCTGGATCAAGGCGTTCCTATCAGACAGATCATTCCGAGTGAGAATAGGCTCAACCTATTCCTCTCCAGCGCCGGTCTCCATTGGAGTTCCTCAAGGCTCCGTCTTGGGACCACTCCTGTTTCTGATCTACGTCAACGACCTCCCAGACGTTCTTGCGAGTCCATGTTTACTTTTTGCGGACGACTTGAAATCCTGGAGTTCCAATGCCAGCGCCCTCCAAATGGATGTAGACGCTGCCAAGCAGTGGTCGTTGGACTGGCACCTTCCTCTGAATGATGAAAAGTGCGTCCATGTGTCGTTTGGAGGGGATTCAGCGAATGCCTTTGTTATGCATGGTGAAAAGGGACCAGAAAACATCATGAGGATAGATGCCAAAAAAGATTTAGGCATCTGGGTCTCCTCAAACTTGTCCTTCGCACTACACCATGAGAAATCGGCCCAAAAGGCATTCGCCGTTTTACGGATGATCCGACGTACCTTCTCCCGTATTACTCGCATGGACTTCCAAATACTCTATGGGGCCTACGTCAGACCGCTCCTGGAGTACGCCAACCAAGTTGTCTACTCAGGACGTACGAAAGACGTTACCCTCATTGAGCGTGTCCAGCGGGCCGCCACGAGAATGGTTGCCGGCCTCAAATCCGTGGACTACGAAAGGCGTCTCGCGATGCTTGATCTCTTTCCCCTGGAGTACCGTCGCCTCCGAGGGGACCTAATTCTTACTTACGCCCTGTTTGAACAAAGCTTGGCAAACAGGTTTTTTTACCGTTGACCCAGCAAACACCCGGCGGGGACATAGTAAAAAATCTTCAAGCTCAGGGCACACACATTCATTGGACAAAACTTTTTTTCATTTCGGGTAGTAGCTGCGTGGAATGACCTTCCTCCGACGGTTGTACACGCTCCTTCTCGAACCCAATTTAAAGCACTATTAGACATGTATTTATGCGAATCCTCGCGCTGGCGAGCATACTGCCCCGCGCTGAGAACATAAAGAGCAGTGCTACACCCTTTTTTCACTTGTGCCTTCCAGGTGAACGACAGCCACTGACCGACAAGAACAAAACCGACCCGGGAAACTTGGGCAAAAGCCTCGATCCTGTGTATCAATCCGTGAATCCGTGAAAAACTCTATGGCCTTGGTTGCTATGGTGGGCAAATTAAATATGTCACCTGTAGTAAATGGCGCATGCGATCAACTGCCGCTGGTATTAGTGCTCTATTCCGTCCTGCTTGGCGAACTTCGGATTATGAAAACGCCGCCGTAGTTACTATTGCCTATCTCTAAAGGACTAGTAGCAAAGCCTCCAAGGCTTAGGTGCACAGCTGCTGAGGAGTGGCTAAATGTGAAGGGGAAATACTTGAAGCCCCATCTTCACAATGGACTGATGGCAGAATATGTAGCAACTGGAATGAACAAGGGCGGGTTACGCCAAACTTAAGGACTTCAAATGGTCTCAATCGCTTGCAATGAAGAAACCCATAAGAGGGATGTGTGAATCCGGCTGATGCTATCACCACAACCTTGTAAACAATTTCTCCTTAGTTTGTCCCATACAAATTGGACTTGCACGATAAATACCTCATTTTCGACCGTATAGTTATACGTTGTCGCTGAATGGCGCTGTAGGTGTCACTGATTTGTTTCAAAAACACTCTCATCACATGCATGTAGAGACCGTGTAAGTCACCGGAGATTATACTTAGGCGAAGACGGAGTGCGACCGGAACAAACACCCGAAAGCGCTGTTGCAGTGCATTTGGACCAACTTAAGGTTCTATTTGTTGTTGAAATAATACGGGCTGCAGAAGAAGGGTTGTATCGATTGTCCTAGTAACACTCGTGAGAGCGCGCGAAGAGCCGCCATTGTGGCTGACATTTATCGCGCACGAAAACGGTCTTGGACGTGCGCCCAAGACAGACATCACGTAATGTCTATTGAAATCTATGGATTTGCTGGGGATTTAAATGTGTCTCCAGACTGAATAAACCCATGACCAAAGCAAAGCACTACATGATATTCGTACATTGTAAAATATTTTCAGTTAGGCGGCTGCCTCTCAGGGACCTCGCAGTTTGCGCTACAGTTGCCGGAAAGTGGCTGCCCGACTGTATCTTATAAACCTTGAGCAGTGATACTGATCCGCAAAATTTTGGTTTTTACGGACCAGGAGACAGATGGCCTCACTAAAAATGCTTTCTTCACCATCTCTTGCTGATGGTGGGTAATACGGCAGAGCTTCCAGCACTGACGTCCCTCAACAGCGCTTTCTCTGTTCATTGCAGTCTTCTAGCTTAGAGTGTGGTATGTAGGATGACCAACCTCTCATTCTATCGAACATGAAGGAAACCCAAGGGATCTTTTCACCGTCAACCTTTATGCTCTTCGGAGCTGTATCCTTTCACTTATACCGTCGGGTTCGCCGAACTCAGCTGCTTAAACCCAATATTTTGTTCAGTTTGCAGAGATATGCTGACAGTACTTAAGAAGGAAGCAGCTCAGCAGCAGTTGTTTCCTTCCGAAAGAAAAAATTCCGCCCCTTCGCAGTATACTGTCCGTATTTTGAAAGACTACTACAGGTTTATGGTGGTCAGTCCGTTTTCAGAACAACCTTCAAGGGGTTGTGAGGTGTTTCAGGTAACAGTACTGTTGCCAACACCCTCCGAAGTATGCTTGAACAAACGATATCAAGGGTTGTTTGTGGATGACTTAGAAGCCACACTCTGTCTCGGAACATAAGAGAACAGGAGATCTCTGAAGACAGAAGAGTAGCCGACGGAGGAAAAAATGACGAATAGCTCAAACAAAATTCGCCACCAAACTGCTATCAGAACACCATGAGGAACAGCACAATCTAGGAATGGCCTATTATTGCCATGAGGAGATACGCTATACGCCGTAGGTCCAGTTGTTTTGATGATTGTAACGGAAATGGCCGTCAAAGTTGCGTAACATGGAGACCTCCATCTTCATTTGGACGAGTGAAAGTTTGGAAAAATTTCCCACGATATTTGATTTGCTCCCGATGCACTCTGATGCACCAAATTGTTTCTCGGACAAAAGCTTAACAGCTAAAAGAATATAGAGACTATCTTCAAAATGTTGGCCAGATTAACACCTTGAAGGTGACAAGTTCACTTTCGTAGGCCAATGCACTCACTTGGACATGGTCACTGTGTATAAGATTATCGGGTTCTGAAAAGCGAAAGCTCTTGGTGGTGACATTGTTTACTTACCAACAAAGATCATGCAGAGAGCACTAGTTTATCCTTTAAACATTAAAGGGTTTCACGGCTTTCATGGAAGTGGTTTCGTGAGAAAGCCTTTCAGGTGGCGTAGTGTTGGCATTGAGGCTTTGAAATAATTGCGAATCCAGCACATATGAACTAAATGGCGCACCTGGCTGTGTAAGCGGGAATCAGGACGACATTACACGGGTGATTTTACTTCGAAAAGACAATCACAAATCCAAGCTTGATTTATTCCAACCTCGAAAATTAGGTTCAAACACACAACTTAATTAGGAAAACTTGAAAAAAGATTAAACACTTTTGGAAGCCCTTCTTTTTGAAAAATTATGGACCACGTCCTCATAATGAGTAAAAACCAAGTAGATGACTGAAAGGATGATTTAGCCGTTTCAATCTAAAACACCAATTCCAAAGCAGTCCCATGACTTTATCTCGGAAACTACCAAACCGCTTCCCCTAGCTTTGTTCAAGACACTCTTCATATCCTTCATTTCCTTCATGTTTCATGAGGCATTGTTACTCACTCTTTCTGGTCTACACTTGTCTGCACACACCAGGGTACACATCCAGCCCTACGTTCTGTTTTATGTTTCATACCCTCTCCAAGACAATAACCACCATTTCCCTGGAGTCTGTGCTTGACCGTGTTTCAACGACATTTTTTAATGAGTTCTAAAGAGCCTTCTGACAACTTTGACTTCCCCATAACTAATTTTATCTACTAATAAATATTTCTGGTCACACATTCAACTGTTGTTAGTCAGAATGTGTCATTATTTGGATCATACTGCCCAAAATTAAAATTTTCGTGCATAGTGGCCTCCAAAATCGAAGTATAGTAAAACAGACATAAAAGTTAGAGTTTAGCTCCGGCATGTCGACAAAAATTGGAGGCCAGTTCTAAACAGCAGAGATTGTTACGCCTCCTTCCACAATGTATTGGTAATCATGGCGAAGGTTTGATGTAAAGAGATATTATGTAAGACGTTTAGCCCTAAGAAACAACTGAAATGTGAGGATACTTCATAGTACGGTGTGGTCTCCATGGCGGTGCACCTAAAAAAGTACGTCTTACAAGGCAAGTATTCGTACGTGGCAATTCTCATCTAGAAAACATCAATTTAACAAACACTACACGTGTATGATAGTAGCGGTGATGGCCTGCCAAAACTGCCGGGAGCGGGAGTTTGCTACGTAGCCACTCACTAGCAAAAACAGTTGGCCTAATATTGTTTCCAAGGCTCTTCTCCATAGATATCGTGTTACGCAACCCATAAGTTTGGGTGCTATACAATGTTGCATAAAATTCAATGCTATTTAGTTTTGTCCGCTTTTATATGGAATGCACCAAATTGAAGATGATAAACGAACCGGTATCGTTATTTTCCTTGTAATTCTGCCACACAGTGCTGCGTTCACGCTCCCGCCTCAAATGCGCAGCTACCTACCCTACCTCTCTGGATCATCGGTGAACAAACTTGTGGCAGCTACAACCACTGTACGATAAGTACGCGATTATTAAAGCTTGACAATGATATGATGCCTATCCTTCAGAAAGAAAGTGCGGCTGTTAGTCATTCACTCCAATATCAGGCATTTTTGGTTATCCCATTTCCCAGTATTTTTTGTCGATACGTATTTTATTGCCCGTTTTGCACAACTAAAAGAGGATTATTAATTTTATCACCGTTGAACTATCAAGGCATTTAACATAACTGAAAACAATATCAAGATAGGATACTTGTACTTTGATATCGCACAACCAGATCAATTTGTCCGTACCATCATCGCCATTATCATCATTATCAATCAT